AAGTCGGACGCTTAACCGACTGGGCCACCCAGGCGCCCCTGAACGTGATTTCTATTTCACCGTTGACTGTGCTGATTTCATGTTCTTTTCACATTTCCAGAAGTTACAAAAAGTACTTTTTCTTAGGGATCGTGGGGGCTAGGGTCTTTCTTCAGAAAAGTCCAGGAGGCCTGGTGAGGAACTGGGCCTGGAGTCCAGTAGATGAAGGTTCAGATCCCAGTTCTGCTACGGGCTGTGTCCTTGGACAAGTGGTCGTACCTCCCTGTGTCTCCATCTCCTTACTACAGTACAGGGACGTCGTGTGTCCTTCCTCTCGAGGGTCCCTGGGATAAGCAGTAATTCTGTGGCCCCTGGGGTATGGCAGTGCTCTGTGAATACAGCAAAGGTTATGATGGCTGTCATGATTCTACTTGAAGATTCTACCTCAGGGGAGGGGGCCTGGGGGGCCTTGAATGCCAGAGCGAGATGTTGGAATTTCAGTCCCCAGGCGGTGGGAGCCCCAGCAGGCTTTGGAGCAGCTGAGTGACTGACATGGCCAGGGCTGAACCTTTGGCATATAACTCAGGCCAGGGAGAGTCAGTCATTGTCAGGCAGGTGGAAGGGGACAGCCTGAATCTAAAGAGCCATCCCCCTGTGTTGTGTCCCCTTCCCCCACACCACAGGTGGCTGCCAGGGGCCTGGCCCAGGTCCTAGTGTTTGAGGACGATGTGCGCTTTGAGAGCAACTTCAGGGGGCGACTGGAGCGGCTTATGGAGGAGGTGGAGGCAGAGAAGCTCCTGTGGGACCTGATGTAGGCAGCCTGCGCCTCCAGGGGCAGGGGAGAGGGACGGCCTCCCCACTGAGCCTGGCCTGTGGGATGCAACTGGGGAAGGGGTCCTCTGACACCCTAGGACCTACAGTGACTCCCGGGCCCCTTGGTGTCGCCCATAGCTACCTGGGCCGGAAGCAGGTGAACCCTGAGCAAGAGGCAGCCGTGGGGGGGCTGCCACACCTGGTGGTGGCCGGGTACTCCTACTGGACGCTGGCGTATGTCTTGAGCCTGGCGGGTGCTCGCAAGCTGCTGGCCTCCCAGCCCCTGCGCCGAATGCTGCCTGTGGACGAGTTCCTACCCATCATGTTTGACCAGCACCCCAAGTGAGTCTCCGGTGGGGGCAGGGCAGGGTCACCTGACCCCGGGGAGCCTACCTCCACAAGCATGAAGTCCCCTCGCTGGGCGGCTGGGGAGACTGAGGCTGGCGAGGCTGAGTCACTAATGCGAGGTCACCAAGGAGTAGCCCAGCCTAGCTTTGGAGTCAGACCAACCGAGGTGTAAACTTTGTGCTGCCGTGTGGTTTTTAGTCAAGCCACTTCTCTGTTCTGAGCCTCAGTTTCCCCGTCTGGAAAATGGAGACGACAGAAACTCCGCTTCTGTCATTTGTCGTGAGGTCTTGAGGGGGAGGGCAGTGAGGGGCTTCGGGCAGGTGAGGTGCCCGGGCTCCAGGCAGGGGCCCCACCTCAGCCCTCCTGAGCCTTCCCCCCGCCTCACAGTGAGCAGTACAAGGCGCATTTCTGGCCACGGGACCTGCGTGCCTTCTCTGCGCGGCCCCTGCTCGCTGCTCCCACCCACTACGCAGGGGACGCCGAGTGGCTCAGCGACACGGAGACATCCTCACCCTGGGACGATGACAGCGGCCGCATCATCAGCTGGAGTGGCTCTCACAAGACGCTGCGTGGCCCCCCCCTGGACCTGGCTGGCAGTAGCGGGCACAGTCTCCACCCCCACCACCCTCGGGACGAGCTCTAGGTGAGGGCGGGGCTGGGAAGAGCCCCCCCCCCCCCCC